ACACACACACACACACACACACACACACACACGACACACACACACACACACACACACACACACACACACACACACACACACACACACACACACACACACACACACACACACACACACACACACACACACACGCATACGCACACACCGCCACCACTTCCAGGTGCTGTATGACCGCGGGTTCCCGGTGCCGCAGCCCATCGACTTCAACCGCCACATTGTCGTCATGGAGCTCCTGGACGCATTTCCGCTCTGCCAGATCAAGGATGTCGACGACCCGGCCGAGGTGATTTCACTTGTCGTTCTGCTGGATGCAACAGCACGCTCGCATGCGCACATGCAGTGCCCTCTCCTGCGTTGCTTTATCAGTGTGTTTGGGAACATGTATGAATACCACGCAAACACACGGTATCAACAACAATTCCCCCCCCCCAGCTTTTGCTCATATGTTCCATTCATCCCTTCCCCCCCCCCTAATTGGCTCCCATGACACCATGCTCATCCTCAATCGCAGCTGTACAGCCGGCTGATGGCGCTGATTGTGCAGTTTGCCGAGCACGGCCTCATCCACGGCGACTTCAACGAGTTCAACCTCATGATCAGCGAGGTGGGGTCTATGCAGCCAGACGCGTGCAGTGCTGTTGCATTCGCACCATCCCATGCAACATTACTGGGCCTGTGGTTGCTTTGAACAATCTCGCCATCCGTAGTCATAGCCCACGTGCGCGGACACATTCACGCACACACACCCTCCTGCTCTCTTGCTCTCTGTGTGTGCCTTACTTCTTTGACCTCAACACACACACCCACGCACACGCACACACACACACGCACACACACACACACACACACACACACACACACACACACACACACACACGCACACGCACACACACGCACGCACCAGGACGGGCACGTGACGGTGATTGATTTCCCACAGATGATCTCGATTGAGCACGAGAACGCCGAGTTTTACTTTGACCGCGACGTGCAGTGCATCCGCACGTTCTTTGCAAAGCGGTTTGCGTTTGAGGCGCAGGAGTGGCCCGCCTTTGCCGACGTCAAGCGGGGAGAGGCCCTTGACATCGAGACGGCCGCCAGCGGGTTCATGCGCGAACTCCAACTCAGCGACGGCATGCAGGTTCGCTCGCGTCGCGAGGGCTGTGGTGGCAGTGGCGGTGGTTCTGGTAGTTGTGGGTAGTTGTGGGTAGTTGTGGGTGCTGATGGCGGTCTCAAGGATGGTGTTGTGCTGCTGTTGATTATGTTTCCCATGACGTCATCTGCTCACCTCTGCACTTCTGACATGCGTTTGTGTGTTTGTGGTCAGGATGACGACGGCGCTCGGGGCCGTGGGAGGAGAGCACACAGCCGCGACGATGATGATGGCGACGATGATGATGAGCAGAAGGATGGCAGTGGTGACGACCATAATGATGATAACGATGAGGATGCAAAGGAACAGCACGAGGAAGACGAGGAGAGTGGGGAGGCCACGAGTGCAGATGCACCTTCGAAGACACAGGCGCACGCAGCAAGTACTAGCGGAGAGGGCGAAGACGCGAGTGGCCGCAGTGACGCTGAAGCAAACACGGACGACAACAATGGCGATGATGATGGTGAAGAAGGGAGCGCAGCGAAGCAACACGAACATGAACAACAACAGGAGGAGGAGAAGGAGAAGGGGGCGACAGCGAAACAGCAAGGTGACGCCGTGGAAGAGGCGGAGAAGGACGACACATTCGACGCTGGTGGCAATGACGATGATGGTGACGAAGGCAGCGATGATGATGAAGGTGATGGTGAGTATGTGAACACGAACCGCGACCGGCTTGTGTCGCGCAATGCCACGGCGCCGCTTGCCCCGAGCCACGTTGCCCAGCGGTGGCGGCCGACGTACAACGACACGGGCAGCACGCGCGGACGCGGGAGCCGCAGCCAGAGCCGGAGCCGGAGCCGCCGCAGCCAGAGCCGGAGCAGAGGGCTTCTGCCGGAGCAAGCCACGGCGAGCCTGACGCCGGAGGAGATACGGGAGCGGGTGGCGCAGGCGTACGGGCGGCGGCGGTTCAGGAAGGGGCAGGCGAAGAAGAGCAAGAGCAAGGACCCGAACAAGAGGGACACGCGCGCTACCGTCAACCAGACCAGCGGCTGGTGATTCGAGAAGATGGGGGGGGGAGCGTGTGTTGTGTGTTGTGTGGTTGTGTGTGTGTGTGTGTGTGTGTGTGTGTGTGTGTGTGTGTGTGTGTGTGTGTGTGTGTGTGTGTGTGTGTGTGTGTGTGTGTGTGTGTGTGGGTGTGTGTGTGTGTGTGTGGGTGGGTGGGTGTGTGGGTGGGTGGGTCGTGTGTGTGGGCGTGGGTGGTTTCTTGTACCATGTGTTGTGACACGCACATGCTTGTTGACGGCTTCCTTTCTTTGTCCGTGTTCCGTGTTTCCTTTCCTTGTGTATCATAAATGGTGCAGGGTTGTGTCTTTGCCTGGACCCAACTTTCTGCTCTGTTTGGTTCTTTCCGTGTTGTGGCTGAGGATTGTTTACAGTTACACGACCAAAAATCAACCATGCGAAATGCTTGCAAGCACTGCAGTAAGAACAGGACGACGCAGCGAACAAAACGGAGGAAAGAAGGGAAGTGGGAGGGGGAGGAAGTGGTATATCGAGCAAGAGAACACGCGAACAGGCACATGTTTGCGCTGCAGCAGCTGTGGTCGGAGGTATCACAGTCCAGCAATGTTACCGTATATGGTCGCGTATGTGTACTGCAAATACAGCAGATACAGCAGGTGCACCCCAACCCCCACCCCAAACACAATGAACCCTGCACAGGTGTGTGCGTGTGTGTGCGTGCGTGCGTGTGTGTGTGTGTGTGTGTGTGTGTGTGTGTGTGTGTGTGTGTGTGTGTAGTGTGTGTGTGTGTGTGTGTGTGTGTGTGTGTGTGTGTGTGTGTGTGTGTGTGTGTGTGTGTGTGTGTGTGTGT